ATATATATATATATATAATAAATAAAATAAATATATATAAAGACTCAGGGAGAGCATGAACTTAAGAGCAGAGGGCAAGACAGACTAGTGTGCTGTTAAAATGTTTATCTCTACAGAAGCATTGTGTGAGTTTTTAAAACAATATTTAACATTCAAAATTATACCACTTACCAATTATACCACCGGTCACAAATTTGTATATACGTACAAAACCAGAGGTCGACTTGCTTTTACAATACCTGTGGTCTTGTGTCTTTTCAGATCACTTGAATACTGGACTGTAGAATAATTTCGGACGTATTCGGACAAGTGCATTGAACTTTTAAAGCTGACCTATGATACTGGATGTGTTTCCTAGCTTTATGTTATTAAACATTATTCTGATGAAGGCTATGCTAGGACACTTAATAGCCAAACTAGCTATTTCACTCCCTACACAAGTAATGTCCCACATGTGTACAATACTCCAGTTGTTGATGGTAGAATTTCCCTTTAAGAAACACTGCATGCTTTTATTAAATTGTGAAACCTCTTAAACTTGATGAAGTAGCATCTTTTTTTTCATTTTGTCTTTTTGTGCCCCAAAACGGTCCCATAACACGGAACCGTTATTGCAGCTCTGCTTCGTGTGGCTGGTGATTACGTTTTCCTTTTTTTCACATCACTCTGGTCTACCTCCAACAGTATGAAGACATACCAGCCAGTGAATAGGGCCGTTGAGCTTTATTTCCAGTGGCTGTCTAACCAAAGTAAATATGAATACAGTGCATCCTGTCAGGGTCACAGTTAGCTCCCTATTCACACGGGTTCATGTCTAACGCAATTTCCTCAAAAGCCAATCACCGTTGCTCCGGAATCCTGAGGAACCATAGCAACTGTGTGGCCTTGAATGTTATTGGCAGGGTCAATGGAATAAAAGAGACGGAAGTCAAGTTTGAAGACAAAAAAATGAATTCATGCCTCATGCCAAAACTGCCACTGAGCTGTGAAGATTTGACACTGGGTCTGTTGATAAACCCCCAAAAACTATCAAATGGAAACTGTTTGAATGGCTATTTCTTTTGATACAGCTCACAAAGTCCCTATGTACAGTTTAAAATGTCACTGAAATGTCTGTCTCCTTATCTGTCACACACACTCTCTCTCTCAATATGTCGGGGCTAGTTGATGGTGAGTCACCCATATTGCTCACTGGGAAGGAGACTGCGGCCCGGTATACGTGAAGGATGTGAGTGTGATGTGCTCTTGATGTTTGCGGTACAGTTCTTTTTGGAATCACAAAGAAAAACTAAAATAGTTTGTGATAAACTGGTGCAGAGCGCTGATTCAAAGTTTCAGCCCACAGGGCTGGACAACATATCACGGGTTTTATGTAAAACATGGCTTAAAACCACATCCTAGTAACATGTGTAACTTTCAAGGCACAATCAAAGTATTTCTTGATGGTAAAAGACTTGTGCTCTGGTCAGGTACGATAGGTTGAGAGTTGTGTCTCACTGGCAACACAAGCAACGCGCTCAACTTGATTTGAAAATTGATTTTAAATATTTTTTCATTTCGGCCATTAAAATGCATGACCATTTTTCCAGGACTTTTATGAAAAGGTGGATGAAGAAAGATTGCTCTTCTTGGTTATTTAAACTTCAAAAGGCTGAATGAAGGTATTTCTGTTATTTCTGTGAACTTTCTGCACGTGGATATGATAATCGTTACAAAATAATTGAAGTGTATTTAATCAAAGCGAGCAGCTTATCAAATGCAGGGTGTCCTCTACTAGAATGAACAATGAAGGAAGGGCTAGAGTAACTTCAGCCCTTCCTTCATTGTTCATTCGTGGTCCTTTTAAAAAAAAAATTTATTCCATTTTCTTGTTGTTTTGTTTGCCTCTAAGCGTGTGTTCTACTTTAACCTCCCCAGCAGTGAGTGGGAGAGGTTGAAATAACAGTGGCTGTCACTGCTATGGAGGACACACTCTGGACAGACTGACTGACAGAGAAATCTCATCCAGAGCCGTCCTGGTTCAAAAGGCACACGGTCACACATTATGACATAAACACGAACTCCAGTATATATGACTGCATATGGGCTTTGAGACAGTGTAATGGCAGTGTCATATGGCGCAAAACAACCATTTAAAAATGCTATATCTCTTTTTTTTCTTACAAGCGTCGAAGCGCTTTGCGTGTCTCTGTTTTAACCTGCAGTAAATCAGGGCAGAGGTGAGTGTTTAAACGTCCTCTTCTAATAAAGGGAGTTCAGTTCCATCTTCTCCAGCGTGTGACACAAACTAGGTATCAGTGATAATTTGTTCATTCTCTCAAGGGAGTCATTTTCTGACCGCATCATATTTTTTCAAGAGGGTCACTCACCTGGTGTACACAGTCACGCTGCGGAATTCGAAAAAGTAATAAGTCCCATTATGCTTCTTAGCTGTGATTTACAAAATATTTGTCTGTCCCCCCATCCTTCCATGTTCTGCTGAAGTACTTCCAAAAACTGTTTAGCGGTGTACTGGATTTAAATGGTTTAGTTGCAAACAATACAAATAAATTGGGCAATTATATAGAAGTGAGAAGAAAAACACTGAGAATAAAGCCAGTTGGAACAGCAATCTGGTTTGCAGGTTGTGTGTTCACATGTGTATGTCTATGAAGTGTGTTCGAGATTAACACTTAACTGTCATATTTGACCTTGACCCAAACCAAGTACCAGTTTAATTGAAAAGGCTTCAGTTCAAACTTATTCAGGCTCTAAAATAGACATTTTCACGTGTAATTTTTCTTTAATTTTACATACGTAACTTGTTTCTAGATGTCGTTTCTCACTTCTAACAGGACCGTGGATTCCTTTGTGGGCATCATTCAATGAAGAAACTGTGTTAATTGCTTTGTCCCGCCACCTGACCAACACCTCTTACTGATGGGAACTTCATTAACAGATATGGATCTTAAGGCTCAAGGACTTGTTCCCAACAAACCCTTAACTTCATGGATGCTGTAGAGCTTTATCCCAGCCCCCTTTTGTGTTTTCTCTCTCTGCAGATCCTATCTATCCGAGTGAGAGATGCCATATAGTGGCAGCGTAGCCAACTTTTTTTTTACCTCCCCAAGCCCCTGCCAATATGGACAGCAGCACAAGCCTCTGACACTGAAAAATATGTCTTTAGCTGAAGCTTTATCAGTAACCCATTGGCTTAATTGGGAAACTGTTGGGCATGCTCCAAAAGACAAAGCAAATATGTGCAGCTGCTTTGTCAAACGAATAACATGAGGAGAAAGAAGGACGAGGGAAGAAAGTGAGTCCAAAACACAACCTAGTTGTGCTAAATTGAGGGGTTTTAGTTAATGAGTTTGAGTCAATTAGCGCAAGTGATAAAAGGGAGGAGAGCGAGAAAAGGGGGTTGGCAGCAGTTATGAGATATTGTCACAGCTCATTTGCAACCAGGCAACATACAGCAAAATTCAAAGCTTATGACTGACTCAGCTGGTGGAGATAAGACGGCAGCCACCCGAGAGAACAGATTGGTATTAACCCTACTGATGGTGTCAGGGAGGGACTATTCTCTGTGCCCTTGTTTTCAGCGATTAACACAATGGCCAATCCACTCCAGCCTCTTCCCCCTTGACTCTGGAGCAGCAACCGGTGATTCGACTTAATGGTTGATAGTATTATATTGAATCTTGACTTGCTTCCCCTTCCAATTTTAATACTGAAGGGGAGGAGGAGGAGGAATGAGATAAGAAGAAACAAAGTAGTGGCTAGTGTTTTTGGCTGCTTGTAAAGGCACATTAAAGGATGTATAAACAGCCAACAGGCTTTTATGCGGTAGCTTAGCCAGAGTCATGCTGTGCTGGGGAAATAATAAGAAGCTGCTCTCTTACAACCCACACGTACTGTGACAATAGTCTATTTTGTCAAAGCAACGAGTGGTCATCACATTCTGGAGGTGATTGAATATTCAGTGTATTGTGCTCACATTTAGAAGAAAATGAAGTAACACTTGACATAGTCACTAGAGCTCCATCTGCTTGTTGAGGCCCACTCGTATTCTCACGCTGCCAGGTGTGCTGGCAGAAAACACAAACACATCCTTTCAGCGCTGTCAAAACCTCCAAAATGTGAATATCATTAGAGGAATTCGCTTTTTTTGTTTTATGTCTGCAATATGTTATATGCCTTAGTTTGTTTCTATGCACCATATATATATTTGTACTTTCACATATATATATTGAAAAAATCTACTTAACCTGCAATCCTGACTGTTACATTGCTTTCCCTGTTTCATTTTACTGCCCCAGAGTACCTGCTGTAATGCAGTCTTCTTATTGTGAATGTCAAAAGGAAATGTGCGCATAAAGTAAATGCCATTCGGTGCCTCTGAGCGCATTATTAACAGACTCTTGATGGTACAGGAAGTTCAGCCTGTAGGTTTTAAATGAAGCCTTACCACAATTACCATATGGGGTCACACTGTAATGTTTCTATATTCCCAAATAGCCTAAGCATTTTTGTATTTGGACTTATACCTCGTATATGACCAGGAGCCTTTTGGGTTGAAAAGTATGTGTCTTAATCAGCACAAAGGGAAGAGGATTGGTGAGTGGTTGTATGAAGGGCAACAGTATGAGGTCAACGTTAAGAAGTTTCAGTCACCACAAAGACTGCACACTTATTTATGTTAGCTGGGCTTTCAGATGCTGGACGTCAAGATAGTTCAGAATGTTCTGGCACATACAGCATCCGTAAAAAAATAGATTGTAAGAATCTGTGGGCTTTCCCTTTATTGTGTAGTGTGATGTACTTTGTCAAAGTAATCTTGTGTCATACCTCATGTCATGGTGGACCACCAAGTCTATACGTATATATATATATATATATATATATATATATATATATATATATATATGGGTGTATACAATATTATAACTCACAAATCCTATGATTCAGATGGGAATTACAACCTTCGGGTAAGCATGTAAGGAAAAGAAACCCACAAACTGTAGAACTGTGGGATACATGTATTTTTTTCCCCATCACAGTCACTGAGAAATCAATGTTAAGAACTAAGCCGAGGCATCAAAGACCAACAGCCTATCTGACCTGCATAGAGCCCCACTGTGGGGTATAATGCAGCATTGTACACCAGTTACTTAAAGACCCATTCATGCAAACACTAAGTAAATGCATAGGACCGTAAGATGGGGGTTTGGGGTATGATACAATTTACAATACTGCTTTCAGCCTTTGCGATTAAACAACTTACACACAAATGGAAATATATTCAGAGACAAGAAAAAGCATCAGATGAAGTGTTTCTGATTAGAGAAATACAAACCAATGTTTTTTTTTTATTTTTCATAGCTTCCATTTGTCTCTCCATAAAAATATTGTTGCTAAACTGTTTAAACGGTTTAAAAGGAAAAGAAAAAGAGAGTCATGTTTCAGTGTAGTCCATGGAAAAGCCCCAGAATCAGACATTCATTTGTTTCACTTCAATCCTTTTGTTTTCTTTCTCCGAAAGCAGAATGGTCAGCAAAGCTCTGTTTCACATGTTTGTTCCATTGAAAAAATGAGCATCGCAATGAGCCCTTGCAGAGACAAGTCAGGCAACTGCTTTAATGCATTATTAAATTAGCCCTAAACTCTACACAAGCCATTAAGAAGCATGTCAAAAATAAACAATGAAAAAATTAAATGAAAATGCAACCAACAACAGAACAAAGTATTTGCAACAACTGTCATCAACCTGCTCTTGACCAGTTAAACCAGTGAGGAATCATGTGCACACTAAATAAACATCTTTAGATACACTACAACTAAGAAGCCCTGGCACTGTAGAATAAATGCAGCTCAGCTCCAGCAAACAGAGGGTTAAACCTAAGCTGCAGAAATTCACTGCAGTCCAAAAGCATTTGGCTGATAGCTACTGAACAGCACATTCTATCGATGCCATTACGCTGCTATCCTTGGACAAATGTCTCTATCCATCTAGATTTTGCGGTTGTGTCTTTTTGTGTACCTAAGTCTGGAAATTTATTGCATATATTATAATATTTGGCACAGTAAAAACTGGAGCTTACATTTGGGGCTGTATTTAGAAACTGGTACCTGTATAAAGAGTGTTTAACTGCTTTCTAAATATGGTCGAAAAACAGACTGAATGCCTCTTTTCCTACAGCAGACCGAACCACCGTGTATCATGAATCACAAAAGCAACTCAGTATATTTGTCTTTTTTTTTTAAATAGAAGTCACCAGTTATTAGAAAATATTTCAAATGACTTTCTTTTTGGATATATTCTGTTTCACCACTGCCTGACCAAAATCTAATTTATATATATATATATATATATATATGTGCAGTTCTTTTCTGTTTATATACGTATGTATAGGCATGTACAAGAAACAAACATCTCTCTCTGTTTTGCACTTCTGTACAAAAGAAAGTTACCGTTTTGTTCTTTGTGGATTTCTATTGCATGGACTGATGAGCAGAGAGGTGGAGAGGAGAGGCCGGGGCTGAGTCAGAGATAAATCCAAAGGGAGCAATACTCAGATTTGGGTCTCTTGAACCTTCTCCTTGCCATGAGTAGTCTTAATGATGTAGGGATCAGCAATGGTGCTGATGTGGCTGTGATGCTGTCTGACTGAGCGATGAAGAGAGTTGTTCTGGGTCCATTGGGCTCCATAGTTCCCTTGGCGGGATGACGTAGAGGACACGTACCCAGGCTTAAAGGTGTTTCTGCTGTGTTCCACCAAAGTAGGCAGTACCAACAGTGTGTCATCAGAGCCACTAGATCCAGACGTGGTTGGGCGAACAGGAGGAACTTCTTCCTCCATCTGTATGATTTCTATGGTCCTGGCTGCCGCCACAGTGCTCCTCTGTTGATGCCGCTTACGCAGTTTATAGAATGCTATCAACATCGCCGCAGCCAGCAAGGTAACAGCGACAAAACAGCCAATGATGATTTTGGTGGTTTTCATCACCTCATCCAGGCTGGCGGCCGGCCCACTTGGGACTCTGGCAGTGGGGATTGACACCTGCTTGGGAGTCTGAGGGTTTTGGAACAGCACAGTGGGTGTGGAGATGAAGACAGGCTGAAAGACAGATGGCGAGGCAGGGATGGTAGGCTTGGGTTTAGGGGTCTCCTCCACCGTGGGCTCCAAAACCTCCACTGTCACGGTGGTAAAATAGGACAGATTAGACGTGTTGAGTTCAGCATTGCTTACGTTTAGGTAGGCCGAGGCATTGGAATTCCCTGCCATGTTGCTGACCATGCAGGTGTAGATTCCTGTGTCTGATGGCAGAACGTTGGAGAAGTTCAGTGTTCCATCATTAAGGACAGATATCCTCGGGTGGGCCGAGCCGTGGGTCAATACAGTGCCATTGGGTAGAAGCCATCGGACTGAGCTCATCGCGGCTGTACGACACTTTAGTTCTGCCACCCTCGCTGCGGAGATGTTCAGGTCTCTGGGGGCATCGAGTATGAACGGTGCTGAACATTGAAAGGTGGTCTGATCAACTTCCACCAAATATCGTCCTCTCATGTTGATCGGGGTGTGGCAGCGTCCGCAGCATGTGGAATTTGTGGGAATGTATTCTCTGAGCCACCAGGAGAGCCACACCACATCACAATCACATCGCCAAGGGTTGTGGTGTAGGTGGAGCTCCACCAGATACTGAAGAGGGGTGAAGAGGTTATGGGGAAGGGATGACAGGTTATTATGGGCTAAATTCAGCTCCACCAAGGCGGTGATGTCATCAAACGCATTCCTCTCAATGGTAGTGATAGCCGAGTTCATAATCCACAGTTTACGTAGATTTTTAAGCCCACGGAAGGCCCCGGGCTTCAGTTCGGGGAAAACATTCTCTGATATTTCTAGCTCCTCCAGTCCCGCCAGTGGTAAAAGATTAGGAAATTCCCTCAGGTTGCACATCCCCAAGTTAAGATACTTGAGGTTTTGAAGTCCCTCAAATGCCCCATCCGAGATATACTCCAACTTCTTCAGTTCTCCCAAGTCCAGTCTCATGAGGGAAGGGACACGGTTGAATGCATAAGAGGGGATGCTCTCAATGGGATTGTTTCTTAGCCACAACTCTCTCAACTTTGACAGGTACTCAAAAGCTCCACTGGGTATGACAGTGAGTCTGTTGTCAAACAGCTCCAGTGTATTGAGGCTGGTCAAGCCATTGAAGGCACCCACCTCAATCTGTCGGATAGCATTCCTGCCCAACTGCAGCACCTCCAGGTGATGCAGGTGCCTGAAGGTGTCTGCTTGTATAGTTTCGATGCTGTTTTCCATCAGGTTTAGGTACCTGGTATTGGCTGGGATGTTGGGTGGAACCCTAACCAGGCCTCGACGTGTACACACTACCTTGCTCAGCTGGTTAGTGCACGAGCACACACCTGGGCAGTTCTGTGGATTAGCCGAGCCCACCGCAGGGCCCGTGGACTGGCCCATACTGAGAGCAGGCACCATAAAGGAGAGCACGGCGAGCAGGGCTGCGTTCCAGGTAGGCTGCACACTAACCTGGCCCAGAGGACTCATGGTGTGGAGGGCTCATTATTCTGCATGGTGGGGGGAGGCGGCACACACCAGAGGACAGACCACCCTAGCCGGGCTGGAGCAGCTCAAGGCTCCCAAGTTCCATCGACGGTGCAGGGAGATGCTACATCAAAATTGGTATGTGTGTGTGTGTGTGCGCGTGTGTGTGTGTGTGTGTGTGTGAGAGAGAGAGAGAGAGAGAAGGGAAAAAAGAGGGATAGAGAGATTAATACAAGAGACGTAGCAGAGGAAAAGCAGTGCAGCAATGTAAGAAAAAGGTTGAACGACATTATTAGTGACGTACCTCATTAGTTTGGAAGTAGTCCTTTTGGCATCTTGTCCAGATTTTAAAAGCAACAGTTATTCATCGTGTTCATTTATAATTTCCTTCCATGGAGAGACATCAGATTGAAGTTTTTTTTTTAGCTTCTCCTCTCTAAAAAAGTGAGGTGGACCTTTATTAGCCAAGGGTACAAAATGGCTCCTAGTATTAAAGAGGGAAAGCAGCATGAAAAGCACTCACAAGCAGAGGTAAGGCCATGAATGCTTGGCGGGTGCCAGGATCGCTTCTGCCCCCTCTAACTGCCCCCCTGCCATGCTACGGACTCCGACATGCAGCTCCACGTTGGATAAATCACAACGATCCATAACACAGTGAAGAGAAGAGAAGTGACTGACGGAAATAAATAAAAATCCCAAGTCCGGTCGGCTCCTGATACATGTGCTGGCTTGTCGACTGGTTGCCTGCTCGGTGGAGACCTGCCTCACTGTGACTTTGCCAGGGGCAAGTCAGTCGGTGATTAGCCCCGTTGTGACAGAGACTGAGAGACAGAAAAAGGCTAAAAGGACTCCCGGTACAGTCATCCTCCCCCTCTTCTTTCCTCCTCGGTCTTCCTTTTTCTTCCTCCCGACGTTGGACTGGCCCTGGTCAGAGCGGCTGCAGGCTGCCGTGTGCACAGTTAGCAGTAATCCATCTATTCCTCCTGGGGTGGGGGGGGGCTAGTGGCAGAGATGGTGGCGCTGGGTGAGGGGGGGGGGGTGGAGAAGGAGATGCGCTGCACTGTTGGAGCTTTGCAAAAGGCTGTCGGAAAGAGAGTGAGAGAGAGAGAGAGAGCACTCGTGTCCTCTTCTGCAATGAACAAAAATACAGAAAGCGACGACGCTGGGAGGACGTGTGTGCGTGTGTGTGTGCGTGTGTGTGTGCGTGTGTGTGTGAAAGTGCGCTCCGTGTCTGTATCCAAAAAAACGAAGAAAGGTTTTCTTACAAGGTCTCCTCCGCGCGACGCTTGTCACCTGCGCTGCCTCCCGCAGTGGTCCTCCGGCTGCTTATTCATCAGTTTGTTTTTTTCTCCCATGGTTGAGGTAGTAAGTTGAGGCAGTTAGCCATGTGCATGACCGGCAGACCTACTGCAGTAGCCAGAGTGAAGCAGAGAGAGAGAGAGAACCTCTGACGGATCAAGAGATAGAGTGTGTGTGTGTGTGTGTGTGTGTGTGTGTGTGTGTGTGTGTGTGTGTGTGTGTATGAGAGAGAAAGATGAAGAGGAGGACGCGCTCAGGCAGCCCACCGTCTCACAAGCAGCAGGAGCAGCATTCTAATCCACATCTCCCCTTCTTGTTTAATCTTCAATCTCTCTCTTTTCTCTATTCTACCACTCCCCCCCCCCCCCCCCCCCCCCGCTCCATCTCTCTGTGTTGGTGTTGCAGGCTGAGGCTAAGACGCTCGCTCTGCCCCCCTCCCTTTGTCCTTCAGCGGGAACGTGAATGTACTGCTGACGCACTCCTCAGCTGCTCAGCCAGCCTCAGAGAGCAGTGCATTGGTTTGATGCAGTGTTCTTCTGTATTAACACGTTCAACCCCCCCTCGCCCCCCCTTCACTGTGACTATCGTCTTCTCTCACACTCTCGCTCTCTGTCTAGTTTTTCACGTGCCCCGTCTACCTGTCACAGTCCTTCTTCGCGCGCGCTCCCTGGATCACTTTACCTGAGCCGACCCCCCCCCCCCCCCTCTGTGGTGCCGGTTTTTCTAGTCCAACCTATTGTTAGAACGAAAATGTAGTGTATCGTGCAGAGACGAGAGGTCAGACTTTGTGCTCCAATTCCGGAGTGGTTTTGGTGATCCGTCTTTCCTTCTCGCGAGCGCAGCAGTGCGCCAGTTTCTTCCCGGGAAGATGTGCTCACTTTTAAAAGGCGCAGGTCTGGGGAGTGTCCCCCCCCCCATCACACATTATTACTAGGAATGACCAAAATTTGGCATTTTAGGGTTTAACCAGATGTTTCGGTTGTTTTAGTGCAGAGGATTTATTGTGAGTGTTTTGGGAGAGGGGAGGGGGTGGAGGGGGGGGGGGGGTCTGTGACATCAGTGAGGACTGAAATGCTGACTCTGCTCCTCCGTGTCTGCTGGGCAGTCTTCTCTTCAGGGAGGATGGAGATGAAAGAGCTTGCACATAGTTATCTCCTGGAGAGACAGAGGAGATGGAGGAAAAGAGACTCGCAGAGAGAGTGGGGGGAGAGAGAGAGAGAGAGAGAGAGATGGGGCTGGCTTGGAGGAGATACATCCACGTGCTCGGTGAAATAGGGGGAAAGGAGCCTATAGAAGGAAGACAGGAACGAGATGAATAGGGATAGAGGGGAAGGATGAGAGAGACGGATGAGATGGAACACGTTGCACAGTAGCTTCCTCGGTGAAACGGCTCAGACAGAGAAGGTTGAGGAGTGGGAGTGTTGATTGTGTGGATTAAACATCATTTGAATGCAGGAGAAGGAGTCTCCCTTTCTGCCTTTCATTAATGATAACATCCTGTCCCTTTTCTCCTCCCCCCCTTCTCTGTCCATCCATCCATTGTCAAACCGCTTATCCTGTACACAGGGTCGCGGGGGGGCTGGAGTCCATAGATAGACAGGGTACACCCTGGATTGGTCGCCAACCATTCACACTCACATTCACACATCTACGGGCAATTTAGAGTCCCCAAATAACCTGATCCCCAGAGCATGTCTTTGGACTGTGGGAGGAAGCCGGAGAACCCGGAGAGAACCCACGCAGACACAGGGAGAACATGCAGACTCCACACAGAAAGGCCACTGGGCAGAATCGAACCCAGGACCTTCTTGCTGTGAGGCGACAGTGCTGACCACCACGCCACCGTGCAGCCCCCTTCTCTATCCAGTCAAATATATTTGCTATTAGCGTTGTGGTTCATTGAAAGAAAAAATTGACTGACAATAAAACACTGACAATAAAAACGTGCCACCGTCAATTCACATTTCAATTCCAATTCATGAAATCAATGTTTTATTCCCCCAAAGATGGTATGGAAAAATGCATGTTCCATGTCCACATAGGACCTGAAAGAAGATGAAGTGTAACTGAAGCCATTTGAAATGGATGCAAAGTCCAGTTGTAGAAGTAGACAACAGTCAGTAATCCCTTGTACTTACTGAATAAATGATAATGCTGAGCATTCTCTTCTTTAAACATATAAATAAAGTAGTAAAGTAGTGGGAATGTTAACTTTTCTCTTTGCATTTTACCTAAAAACAATCCTGCTGCATTCATCTCACCGGTTAGAAAAATATGAATCTCTTACTAGTTTGCAACATGGATGAGGGAAGAATATTATCATTTTTTTATTTCAACCTTCAGCTGATCAAATTGATTGGGAGACGTTAATCAAGCCCAGTATACGTTTTTATTTTATTGTGTAAAAGTTAGATTAATGACCATTGCAGACATTGATTTTAATATTGCAAAAGGGTTGGCGCTTGTCTCTTATCCAAGATAATTCCGATTATTTGAAATAAATGATTTCATAGTTTCATATACACTACATAATGAACATTTATAGGATTCCAAGGACTGACGCTACATTCAAAACCATTCTTATATAGTAAGTATATAAAAACTACCTTTTGCAGGCAAATGTTGTTTGTGAAATCAAGGGGTTTGGCTTTAAGTTGAAGAACAATATAGCGTTTTTTGGGGAGCAATAACATTGTGTGCGCAACAAAGAGAATATCTGAAAACGAATCTCTCATAGTTTCTTTGATGCATCAAAGAATTTCTTTGAGACAGATAAAAACATGGATGAAATAAAAAACTCACTAACACTTGTTTTGAGAGATAACATTCTAGGTAAAATGTGCCAATTACAGGTAATTAAACATGTGAATTTAGATTGACGACTGGATAGAAGGAATAAAGAATGGGAGGAAAGCATGATGGAGGGGTGAGGGAAGGGCAAAGGGGACATAGCTGTTAGTTAAGGTGTTACAGCTGGGTTGGTCAGATAATTGATGGCCATGGTTGTAGCTGCTGTGTTAATGCTATTATAGGGGGCATGAGCATGGAAAGGTCAGTTTGCACACTGAATGTATGACATTTCCTCCTGCTGTCTTTATCTCTCTCACCTCTGTCTTATGCATCCATAGTAAGGTACACCGACCGGAGCCACCATGTCCCAGTCCTCTTTAGAACGGGCAAAATGAGGTTCCAGGTGAAGATTTATTGCCATGTGTAAATTAATATAAAGCATGTGGTAAATCACAAGGGTTTTTATGGAATTACTCTATAGTAATATAGCATACTGTGTCAATTCAACGCCATAAATAAATCTTTAAATCATGTCAGATATTGGGAGATCGCTGCGTTGTCTGGTTTGCTAATTTTTGCGACTACATTAATATAGAATTTTCAATATCCTGTCCATGGACAATTATAAAAACTCCACAGTGGATGCTGTTTAACAATTCTTATTCACTTACGCACTAGTCAGTTTTAGTAGCAGTTACTATTAAAATAACCTTTGCTGTATGCTTATTTCGACCAATATTACAACAATCTTGAGTATATATTTTTTTTACAGCAAACACCCCCTCCCTGAAAAATGAATTAACCTAAAAATACAGAAAATGGGCATGCCGATGGTAAATAATTGTAATAATAATCTTAATAATCTGACTCATTAGTAAACATAGCAACAGAAAATAACAGAAGAGAATACAAACTATTTTAACCATACAAACAACTCAACGAGGGCCTTTGATGCTTCAGTACATGGTCGATTAAAATAATTTGATCAGACATGCAACTGAACGCGCCATTAACTGTTCATTTGCTGGACCTGTTCAAAGCAGATTCTCCATGTGGAGGTGTCATGATGTGGTTTGAATCTGGGGATTCAGTGGAAGCCCTTCGATTTAGGACACTGACATCACTCTGTCATGTTGACAGGCAAGCTATGCATTTGGATCCTTTAACATGCATTATAAATTAACCCAAAAAAGGCAAAAATGAACAGAGGTTGAAGGCAGAGAAGGCCCAATGAAGGACTAAGCGAGCGGGTCAATACCATGGATTGAGGGGGCCGGGACAAAACATTTGTGGGCAAAAACCAACTCGTGTTGGAAAGAGTGAGACAACAGTTGGTCAATACTGAGCGAGTGACATGCTGCCCTACAAAGCTGCGTCAGGGTTACAACGGAAATTGAATGTCCCAATTGGCCCGTGTGGAAAGATAGCATCGCTGATGGTTTAAGGTATCCTACCAACACTTGTAGTGACTCTGTGGCCTCTCCAGTCTAGATGGCCCATAACTTATACATACTACTTAACCTCCTCTGACACGCTCACTGCTGAATGCAGAGTTTTGAAACAGCGGGGCGGCAGCAGCTGTGAAGTGAATGAAGGTTGAAAGCTGCCGACATCAGTTGCTAGCTGACCCCGCGGTCACGTGTTTTATTGAGAATGATATTGCCAGCTGCTAAAAGGTACCGCCACCACAGTCGCATCCCCCCCTCCCCCTTCTCAAAATGACAATTGCACTCTAGCTCTAACTATTTACCTGCAGGGCAGGTAAAACAACATGTATCGCTTAGTTACCACTGCAGCTTCACCCCGTTCTGTAGTTAGAACTGGCAGATCTTATTAGCTGCTAGCATTAACCATTACCTTACCTTAGCAGCTGCTCAGTGTCTGCCCCTTTTGGATCCCTCGCCACTCAGCTCGTGCTTAGTGTGGCAGGTCAGCAAAGTGCTGGAGCAGCATTTGGCCTGAGAATAGAGGAGCGGATGGCGTGAGTGTGAGAGAGGGGGAGAGGGAGAGAGAGCGAGAGAGAGAGAGAGAGAGAGAGAGAGAGAAAGAAGACTGGTGGAAGCGGATCGATGTGGCCTGTATTCATTAACCCTCGCTCACGGCTCCCTTCCCTCCCCAATCACAACCCCGCCATTTTAGGGCGGCAGGAGGTGATTTATTATCTGTCCTGGCTCAGTCAGCACCATCGACCCACGGTCTGAGGAGAGTTGACTCACACCAGGATATACAGATTGCCTCACTGTGGGCCGAACTCACTCAGTGATCCGACACCATTCAAAGTGGAACCACGCTGGAGAAAGCGGGATGATCAACGTGCATTAACCAGCCGCAACAGTGTGTGATGTTCTCTCTTGGATTTAGTCTCTGTCTGTCATTAAGGTACAAAGTTCTGGAGACACACACGGAAACATTAACGACCAAAGAAGCAG